GGAGTAAATTAAAATTCGTTTTGTGAATTTATAAAAAAAGAACTAAGATAGATATAGCAAACAGTTTAACCTTAGGTTCCAGGGGAAATCTAAACCATTAAAAAGAAAAGACATAAAACAAACAAGTCATACAGGATCCCTCGTAAACATTTATTTTTCTATATTTTAACTTTAACTCTGCTGTAACTGAAAAAAAATGCTAGGTACAGACGACATCACATGAAGCTAAACTGTGGCATCTTATTTAGTTCTAATACGGGTGATTTTGCAACAAAAGTGTATAATAGACTGATGTGCTGTTCTGTACATTTGGACCTTTCCATTAGGTGCCGATGCCGAACCCGCCCTGAGATTGACGGAAAAGATTTATTATACAAATTGATGATTGATGCGGATAGTTCGGGAAGTGGGAAAGTAAGTCATTAGTATCCTATCCCTATTGTACGAGAGGAACGTAACTAATGAGAGTTAACCACCATTAGTGTTCTGAAAATACCTACTTACCTAAAAAGGTAACTTACTACTTACCTAAATCTGGCAGTAATTATCTAAATATGTATAACTCAAAGGTGACTGACTGACTGACTGACTGACATAGTGATCTATCAACGCACAGCCCAAACCGCTGGACGAATCGGGCTGAAATTTGGCATGCAGGTAGTAGTAGTAAGCATCAGTAGTAGGCATCCGCTAAGAAAGGATTTTACGAAACTCCACTCCGCGTACAAAGTCGCGGGCGGCCGCTAGTTATTATTATAAAGGTTTATTGCTGCATTTTATTTTTAATACCTACTGCCTAAATGCCGAATTTTCACATAATTTAACTTTAAGATATAATTATTTTTGAATGTGTTACGATGACAAAATCACGGTTAATACTTTGTTAACTTTGATTGAAACCAATGCAGCGTACTAGTGTGTTGAGGATCCAGGCTCACTAAATACGATACGACAGAAACATGATGAAGCCCACCAAACGTGGTTCTTACATACCGTCAACTTGGGCTAAACCCATCTGCACGTCCTTGTTAGTTACAAATTGAATTTTCAGTTCAACCTCCGAGCCCTCCTCTGTTCCCGTATAGGATCCGAAACAACTCATTTAGAGAATTCCCCATATTAGATACTGTATTTTGCCCTGAATAACAAATTACCCGATTAGAGGTAGGTACTCGTGATTTTTTCTATGGGTTTTTACTAGAGATGNGTTATTGGGTACTATTATTATGCTTGTTGTGTAATTGTATTGTATTATTGTGATATTGTATTACAACACCTGGCTATGTGGCTGCGCCAGGCCTATTATATTGACACCTGGCCAATTGATGGTGACATGCCACGGGGTCGGGTCGGTAGTTTGATGACCAGTATAAAGAAGGACAATGCTTATAGTTGCCGGTTATGTTATGGTACAAAACCTAAGTCGTAACCTAACCTAAACCTAATTCTTAACCTAACCTAAACCTAAGTCTTAACGTAATCTAACCTAGAACTTGTGTTCTGTGTGTTTGATTATAAATACTGGTTATACAAAATACCGTCAAAATGTTAATAATAAATAAGACGTAATTACTGCTAGATTACTCATTTTTATATAAGTTATAAATTGTTGTAACTGGTTGAAAAAGACGCTGACAAAGGTGACTGAGTTTCTTTCGCCACTTCTTCTCAGCACCAGCCCATATTGTCCCGAAGTGGTGGTAGGGCAAGCTATATTTGGGACGTGTATAAATGCCCTGGAAAAGGGCTTTATACTGAATAAATCATTTGAATTTATAATTGGATTTTTAATTTGTAACATGCTTATTTATTAAACTACAGTATTATAGTTCTATGTATTTCCACGGTATAATACGATTATGATAGGAATATAACGTAAAGTATTTTATGCTAGATTTTGTTTATTATTATTCTTCTTTTTGTGGTAACTTTATTAATTAAAGAATCTGCTTTAATACATTAATATTTACTAATTTACAAATGACTAATGCCTAAAATTCTAACAAGCGCGATTCGGAATCATATACTTCAGTAACTTTTTACGTAGTACTTTTTAATCAAGAGGGTTTAATCCTTCACCTCGTTTCACTTTTTACCTCTGACTATTCACAAAAATAAGCTACATTTTTTACAGGGAAAGCCATCTTTTGGAATAGATTAGACTTTTTAATGGCAATTTTATTTTTATTGACGGGTTTAAAATTTTTTTAGTAATTTCATTTTAGATTGCAGAAACATAAACTCCAAAATCTATTTGTGTAAATAATGTGTAGCTTATCGAGCTTGTTGCCAACAACTCCATACTAACTTTAACTCGTACATCAATGTTTCGAACGACGCGCCTGCATTCGACGTCCGTCCGTAACTCGCGCTCCGTTTCGCTCAAACAAAGATAAAGTTGACTAAATGGCATCGGTGAGAGCGGAGTTGACCGCTTTATTATTACAACTAATATACAGATGGAGGCACTTCAACGTTTATTGCTGATTAAGTGCAAAGATTCAGCTCTTCATATTATCTGGGTTAAGGATTTAGGGATATAAAACTCATTCATATTGTCAGAGTTAAGGATAGGGATATAAAGGGTTGGAGACTGACCAGTTCTCGTTGTCCAACGTAGATAAATGTAGCTGAATTGATACAAGATATTCTCTTGTGATATTTTATAAAATTGCATTCCGAAGAATGTTTGCGTCCGCTTGAAAAGCACAAAGATATTACAAGTAGGTAGGTACTGCGACTAGAAAATTAATAAAAATTTATATATTTTTCAGCGAGAGATGCCGCAGAAAGATTGTTTGTTCCAATTGATACGGCGGAGTAAACAGCCGCCTGATTGAATTGGTTCATGTTTTATGCAACAGGGCAAGATTCCAATCAGCCGGGTAACCCGTTTAATTCGATTTTAATGTCGAATTCAGATATTTAAGATACATATCAGCACGTCCACGCTGCTCCGGCTAATATCGTTAATGACCTGAATATTGCCTGGCGCGGCTTATCTGGTATCGCCACCAAGTTCACAATGCTGTAGGAGTTAGTGATTAGATCTGCAATACGTAATACCGAAAGTTTTAAGGCGTTGAAAGTTGATGCCCATCTCACCAAATCACCATTACGTCAACGAAACCTTTAACGAAAGTAATACATAGATTTAGATAAATAAGTATCTTCGTCTGACAATGTTTATGTATAAGAATAAACGCATCTTGCCTTTAGAAAAGAGATCTTAAACCAAGAATAGCTCTCGCCACAGCATACTTTCTAAAAAAATACATGATATCAACAATACAGGGTGTAAAAAAAGGATGAACCAAAAATGTGCTGATTCAGTCAGAGTCCGAGTGAAGTCTAGCATACAGGAAAAATATTAAAAACATACAAACTTTAAAAATAGAAAGATTATTTTGTTTTATACCAGCTTGCTAAAAATCCATTCCTTTAGACAAGTGTACAGAAAATTGACGGTCAAAACTTCATCATTCAAGCCTTTCCCATACATATTTTAGGACGCTATCTTCTCTTGTGAGCAATGTGAGAGATTTATACTCGTACATACGACCAAGATATATGTCTGAAATAAGCTGCCATGTGCGGGCACGAGATGTATGTGGGAGATTTGGGCTGTTATTGTTTTTTTAGGATTGCTCATTCAATTTTTGCTGATCCTCCGCGAAATAAGCAAATAAGATGTGTATTTGAATCTGTATAAGAATATACAATAAACAATGAATGAGCATTTGAATAAATTAAAGCGTCAAGCAATTTAACCGTTCCAGGGAAACTTTACTTCAATATAAGTAAACATTCCCTGGTAAACCCTATATTTTAACTCAGCTGTAACTGAAGAAATACCATGTACAGACGACATCACATGAAGCTAAACTGTGGCATCTTATGTAGTTCTAATACGGGTGATTTTGCAACAAAAGTGTATAATAGTCTGATGTGCTGTTCTGTACATTTGGACCTTTCCATTAGGTGCCGATGCCGAACCCACCCTGAGATTGACGGAGAAGATTTATTATACAAATTGATGATTGATGCGGATAGTTCGGGAAGTGGGAAAGTAAGTCATTAGTATCCTATTCCTATTGTACGAGAGGAACGTAACTAATGAGATTTAACCACCATTAGTGTTCTGAAAATACCTACTTACCTAAAAATGTAACTTACTACTTACCTAAATCTGGCAGTAATTATCTAAATATGTATAACTCAAAGGTTACTGACTGACTGACTGACTGACATAGTGATCTATCAACGCACAGCCCAAACCACTTGACGAATCGGGCTGAAATTTGGCATGCAGGTAGTAGTAGTAAGCATCAGTAGTAGGCATCCGCTAAGAAAGGATTTTACGAAACTCCACTCCGCGTACAAAGTCGCGGGCGGCCGCTAGTTATTATTATAAAGGTTTATTGCTGCATTTTATTTTTAATACCTACTGCCTAAATGCCGAATTTTCACATAATTTAACTTTAAGATATAATTATTTTTGAATGTGGTAGGTACGATGACAAAATCACGGTTAATACTTTGTTTTTTAACTTTGATTGAAACCAATGCAGTGTACTCGTATGTTGAGAATCCAGGCTCACTAAATACGATACGACAGAAACATGATTAAGCCCACCAAACGTGCTTCTTACATACCGTCAACTTGGGCTAAACCCATCTGCACGTCCTTGTTAGTTACAAATTGAATTTTCAGTTCAACCTCCGAGCCCGCCCTCCTCTGTTCCCGTGTAGGAACCGAAACAACTCATTTAGAGAATTCCCCATATTAGATACTGTGTTTTGCCCTAAATAACAAATCACCCGATTAGTACTTGTGATTTTTGCTATGGGTTTTTACCTTCATAACACGTTCCAACGGTTAATATTTTCGTTATGACTATGATAATATAATTATGTCCGTCATGAAGAGTTTTACGTCAAACCTGATAAACGAAGAATTCAAGTAAAGTCAATAAATAAGGCAAATAAAAAACACCAGATTTGTCTAACAAATAAAATGGTTTTAATAATTTTAATAGTCCCTCTTCAATCCTGATCCTTTGAAATGTTTTTCACAAATTTCCATGTGTTCTGGGTGCCAAAATAAAATTGTGATCGCGCCAGAAATATTCGACGAAACTGCATTGGCGCGTTAAATCCGCCCTTTGATCGCTCCACCTGAGGTCGAGCAATCGGATTACGTTAGAAAAATATCTAGTTTTCGAGTATTGAAGCGACAATAGGTGTCTGTTCTAAAAAGCCTAACGGTGGTGGTATATCAGACTGAAGTTTTGAGATAAGATGAATGCTAGTAATACGGTGACGGATCGTTGGGCGCTGAACTCTATTGTGATGAACCCACTTCTGTACCTCTAGTAGGAAAAACTTTCGAGTTCGTTTCGTTGCGTATTCAAAGTGTCATCGAAAAATTTTGTATGAAAAATTAAACAGCGCCCCCTATATTATAGCCGCCCTAGGGGGCGCTGTTTAATTTTTCATACAAAATTTTTCGATGACACTTTGAATACGCAACGAAACGAACTCGAAAGTTTTTCCTACTAGAGGTACTGATACAAGAATATGTTAAGCATAATAATTGCAGGGGTTAACAGGTTTATTAACGTACATGTACCGGAAAGCGTAGCGTATAGGACTTCCTCACACAAGGTGGACCGAAGACCTCATAAAGGTAGCAGGAAGGTGCTGGATGCAGGCCGCTACCAACCGGTCATTATGGAAATCATTGTGGACTAGGCCTATTTTCAGCAATGGACGTCCTATGGCTGAAAAGATGATGATGAACAGGTTTTAAAAAAACACAAGAATGTACCTTATTTCAATACATGTAAGAACGAATCGTGGTTGTTGCAGGCGCGATCCCGATGGTGACGGCGACGGTGTACTGTGCGCCCGCGCCGCTGCGATACGCCGCGCTCGCCGTCTACTCCGTCGGCAGCATCGTCGGGCTCTATAAGGTAATATGAAACCAAGGTTAAAGAGTAAGTACTCTTTACTTTCACATGTTTCAAATACTACATTACTTCATTAGTTTTATTTATTATAAGCAGCGTGCAAAATTTAATCAAAAATCAAAAATTCAAAATCAAAAATATTTACATATTCAGTTTAGACCAAAGGTGGCACTTATGAACGTCAATAGAAAATAATAAAAAAGAAAAGGTAGCCCTTATGGGGCACTTTACATGTCTCCTCATCTTTTGGGCCCTACCAGCGCTTCGAGACAAACATATGGCAAGTGCTGAGAAGAAACGCCGGAACAAACTCAGTCACCACTTATTGCCAGGAATTTTCTAACGGTAAGAATAGTCAAATTTAAGTACATCTAATATGTGCAGACTAAACTGACCACGCATCCTTGTCATCAATATAGTCTCGAACCTAGTATCAAATTCAAGTGTAGGGAGAGCAAGGTTCAAAAGTCATGAAATTAGAGTTACCTACATTAATTTATCTGTTTGAGTCTTACGTTCCAAAATACATATTTATTAAGTATTTATATAGAAGAGGCATGAGTCAGGAAACCATTAAATGAATATTAATTAACCATAAAATGTATGACTATGATTTTTAAACTTAATAGTTAAGCATTTCTAGCATATTGTATTAAGTCGACTGTAAGTTCATAATAGGCGAATAATAAATATTAATTAATACATACATACCTTATCTATGAAATTCACGTGTTTATGACATACGTACATAGGCGCTCAATGTAAAATACCTATGTAAACACACCGTATTAACTGATACTAAAATACTTTTGATAAAATTATCCTTGTTATTGTTATGGAAATAACGATGATAACTTTAACTAACCACACTTCAAACTGATAATGTAAATTGTAGTTAAACTGAACTAAGGCGAATCCATTAACATAGAAATTAATAATTAACAGTAGATATACATAGTGTGGGCCACTAGGTGGACTGACGATCTGGTGAAGGTCGCGGGAGGTGCCTGGATGCGAGCGGCGCAGGACCGGTCTTTGTGGAAATCCTTGGGGGAGTCCTTGTCCAGCTGTGGACGTCTTTCGGCTGAAACGAACGAACGAACGATACAGAGTGTCCCAAAAGGTAGTGTCAAGCCGAAGTCCAGAGGTAGAGCATCACTTCTTCTTTTTTCAGCCAAATGACGTCCACTGCTGGACAAAGGCCTCCCCCAAGGTTTTCCACAATGNAACATCCCCATTTTCAGCAATGGACGTCCTATGGCTGAAAAGATGATGATGAACAGGTTTTTAAAAAACAAGAATGTATGTACCTTATTACAATGCATGTAAGAACGAATCGTGGTTGTTGCAGGCGCGATCCCGATGGTGACGGCGACGGTGTACTGTGCGCCCGCGCCGCTGCGATACGCCGCGCTCGCCGTCTACTCCGTCGGCAGCATCGTCGGGCTCTATAAGGTAATATGAAACCAAGGTTAAAGAGTAAGTACTCTTTACTTTCACATGTTTCAAATACAGTAGGACGCCGATTATCCGAACGCCGATTAACCGAATCGCCAATTATCCGAATCGGTCCTAAGCGTAATATAAAAAATTAAAACCAAGTCATTTTTGTTTTGTATTGGTGTAACAAGTTGGAACTCGCAGGAGTCTACATATATTTCAACTGAGCGTTATTGTAGAGCTGTAAACACAGATATTAAAGTTTATTCTATGTGTGACAGTTCGTTTTTAACATGATTTTTCTTTATTACCTGTCTATGTCCGATTATCCGAATTTTCGATTATCCGAATCGACCGCGGTCCCAATTGATTCGGATAATCGGCGTTCTACTGTACTACATTACTTCACTAGTTTAATTTATTATAAGCAGCGTGCAAAATTTAATCAAAAATCAAAAATTCAAAATCAAAAATATTTACATATTCAGTTTAGACCAAAGGTGGCACTTATGAACGTCAATAGAAAATAATAAAAAAGAAAAGGTAGCCCTTATGGGGCACTTTACATGTCTCCTTATCTTTTGGGCCCTACCAGCGCTTCGAGACAAACATATGGCAAGTGCTGAGAAGAAACGCCGGAACAAACTCAGTCACCATTTATTGCCAGGAATTATCTAACGGTAAGAATAGTCAAATTTAAGTACATCTAATATGTGCAGACTAAACTGACCACGCATCCTTGTCATCAATATAGTCTCGAACCTAGTATCAAATTCAAGTGTAGGGAGAGCAAGGTTCAAAAGTCATGAAATTAGAGTTACCTACATTAATTTATCTGTTTGAGTCTTACGTTCCAAAATACATATTTATTAAGTATTTATATAGAAGAGGCATGAGTCAGGAAACCATTAAATGAATATTAATTAACCATAAAATGTATGACTATGATTTTTAAACTTAATAGTTAAGCATTTCTAGCATATTGTATTAAGTCGACTGTAAGTTCATAATAGGAGAATAATAAATATTAATTAATACATACATACCTTATCTATGAAATTCACGTGTTTATGACATACGTACATAGGCGCTCAATGTAAAATACCTATGTAAACACACCGTATTAACTGATACTAAAATACTTTTGATAAAATTATCCTTGTTATTGTTTTGGAAATAACAACGATGATAACTTTAACTAACCACACTTCAAACTGATAATGTAAATTGTAGTTAAACTGAATTAAGGCTAATCCATTAACATAGAAATGAACACTTAACAATAGATATACAGAGTGTCCCAAAAAGTAGTGTCAAGCCGAAGTTCAGACTTCAGTACCTCTAGTAGGAAAAACTTTCGAGTTCGTTTCGTTGCGTATTCAAAGTGTCATCGAAAAATTTTGTATGAAAAATTAAACAGCGCCCCCTATATTATAGCCGCCCTAGGGGGCGCTGTTTAATTTTTCATACAAAATTTTTCGATGACACTTTGAATACGCAACGAAACGAACTCGAAAGTTTTTCGTACTAGAGGTACAGACTTTTGATAGTTTTCGAGTTATGATTTTTTTTACAACATACAGGATTTTAGTGTACATTCGTGTTATGGATGTAAATACTTCTGAATCAGCTAGGCCTAATGGTATTCATCTAATAATAATTAAAAAAAACAGGCATACTTGACTATTCGCGCCACAGTGACCAAAAAAGTGCCTAAGCACAGAAATGTAACGCAATCATAACTCGAAAACTATCAAAAATCGCGGAACATACATGGTGGTGATTTGGATAGCCCTAGTGATGCTCTACCTCTGGGCTTCGGCTTGACACTACTGGACACCCTGTATATTTACTAGAGATCAATTGCATCTGTTCATCGAATAACTAACATTAAACAATACCTACCTAAGTAAGTACCATTCACTATGTATTTTTCATAGTTGACAATACTGCAGATTATAAAGATACCTTCATTGTATAGGTTTATACACCACATAAAAACTGACAAGTTACTGAGAATAAATAAAAAAAGTTGGATTAACTTATTGTTATGTAATATGAATATGGACAAACTTTTTGGGCACTGGGTTTTTCCTGATGTATATCCTCATAATATTTCGCATGTCTAATGTACAGTCGGCTACACAGTTTCTGCAAAAAATAAGATGTTAAATTAAATGTTTCGGTGAAAGACATTCACAATTTAAAGTTTGCTCATTCTTTAAACGTGAACTAAATTTCTCTTTCTTTTTGGGTATAAACAATTTCATTCCATTATAATGGAAAGTTCTGGAACCCTAGAACATTCGAGAGAATGCCCGGGCGAGCACCAGACGCGGGGAGAGCAAATATGTAATTATTTGATCGCAAACAAACGCCGCGGTTGCACTCAGGACAATTCGGTTTATTTTTCGCCCAAACTCAACCAGTCTATACGGGTTCCCGATTCCGCTATCGGCAAATAGTTTTCAGTTACTTTGTAAATAAGCAAAACTTTACTGCAGACTTTTGCGGACAATTTCAGAGAAAGCATTATGAAGATGTTTATTTCCTGAAATGGTCCGTGCGGCGTCGCACAGCGTTGCGCAGCTCCCGTAACTGCGTCACGGTCGTAAAGGCCAACTTAGGCTATGAATTTTACTCAATACTCAACCATTTACTGCCACATAAGGTTACTAACCTTTATTTGTCACCTGTCATGGAGGGAAGTCGAACCTTAACTTCGAACTCCTCCTATGTTCTTCTGATTAATTTCGTTGCGGGTCCAATGACAGTTTAACTTTCCCCCGGGTTAAACTTGACCTTTACTGGTTGGGTTTTTATTGGCGGTCAAGCAGTAGATCCTGGCTACACAGGAGTTGCAGCGGTGGGAACGAGAGGTGGGAACAGTCCCGTACTGTACTACATTAGCATATTCACGCAGGAATTTTAAGAAACTGTTTTGTGTCTGATCAGGCGATGCGCGCGTGGTCTCCCTGGGAGCGGCGGCTGTGCTTCGCGGCGCCGTTCTGCATGCGGCTGCTGCTGGCCGGCGCACGCGCAGCGCGCCTCGGCGGCGGCGACCCGCACGCCATTCTGCACGTCTTCCTACAGGTAATAAGGAACAGTTCAGGCTGAAGTAACCTGGGTGTCTACAAGCCTGGGAAGAGTAGTATTATTATATAGAGGCCGTCAACCCGCAGCTGCCGGTAGTTAGTTGGCGGCGGCAACCCGCACGCCATTCTGCACGTCTTCGTTCTTGTCTTCATTCTTGTTCCCTAAACAAGGGCTTAAATGGTGTGGCTATAAAACAAGCCTGGGGTTAGCATAGTGATACAATATCATCAATCCAAAGGTGGTCAGGGTCAGCGGTGATCTGCACGTCTTTCTACAGGTAATAAGGGGCAGACTGGGCTGGATGGGCTGAAACAAGGATAAGGTTAGTGATGAATCATTTTACGCTAAGCTCGTCAGCTTGAAGGTAGTGCCAGCGGCGGGAATCCACACGCCAGACTGCACATCTTTCAACAAGGGCAGCAGCTGAAAGGATCTGGACNATCTGGACTTGGACAGTTTCAATGAAGCCTGGGATGAAGCATTGTTACTAAGTAATTTATTTTGTCTAATAGAATATAGAAACTATGGTAAGAGATCGAGAAAATATCGTCAGCGTAAACAAGTTAATTTGTATGGAAATAGGAAAGTTTGAATTCGTTTGATCAATTTTATGTTTAGGTAAAAGTTGTTATCTCAGCATCTGATTATAATGGTATACCTAGTCATTTCGACACTGATAAACCGTGTAGAAACAAAATACCCGAAATAAAATAGAAAACAACATTAGTAATCAATCATATCCAATATCCACCTATTATAGTTATTTATAGTAGCGACTCTACATTTTCTTGTTACTGTAAAATTCTCTGAAACGCCACCGACTCTAGACGTTTGATTTTATTTCATCTAGAAAGTGTAAAAAATAAATTGGACTGTCATTTCAGTAATTTTTTTCTGAAAAATTCGCTGAAAGTCATTTCTATAATACCCGTGGAAATAATAAATCAAATTCTTACCTAGGTATGCCTTGGAGAAACGAATGAAACTTTCGAAAAAATATTCCGTTGCTAGTTTTAAATAAGCGACTTTCTCGGGCCAGCTTGCCATCGATAGCGTTAGTGGCACTTACAACTCCGTGACTTTATCCGCATCAAATCCGCTCGGAGGAATGACATTCCTCCCCTCCCCCGCCCCACCCCGCCGAGATTTGTCTTTGACAAGATTTCCTCAAGCCTCAACTGAATTTTAACAGGCACCCTCTGACGGAAGTATTACTTCGGAACCAGTTATTTCAATCAATGTCGGTTTCAGAATAAATATTTATTCGGAACTTTTACTATGTTATGTTTTTTGTGTATATTTTTATTTGCCTTTCTAAGATTGTTGCGATGTTTCGCCTCAGCCTTGGTCAATTTTAGGGAAAAAATACACTAGGAATAAAATTGCTGTTGGGTTTTTTGCCCATAAATGGTGATACTCGTAATACTTTTTCAAGCAATTGTGTTAATAATACGAAAAGTAATTACAATAGCATTAGTGATGTTTAGTGAATCATTTTTATCACTATAGCATTCATCACCAAGCTGAGAGTTAGTATTAAAAATTAGAATACCTAAGTTATAATGTTAGTAATATTAATATTAATTCAACTTACGTACTAAAAACGTGAAACATGCATTGATGAAACCTCCATTTAGGCATAGTATAATAATAAGTATTTACAATTTAGGTAAGGAAATACATTTACGAAAAAACATTATTCTAATCGTACAAATTATTGACCAACGTAGAATAATATACGAGTACATAGGTATTCCCTATTCCCCATCCAAATATCAAAAAATACCAGTGATTCCCATATCGCGTCACTTCGTAGCGCTCTATACAGTATGTATGTGACTTCTCAAATCGAATCCATACTGTTACATTGTCTCCAGGTACTAGAGAGATATTGTCTAAAGCTTGGAGGTAGCTCGTAGCTAAATGAGCACCCCGGGAGCCCCGCAATAATGAATGGCGTCTTACGAGCCAGCACGACGTGTCTCGTATGGAGTTTAATTAAACCCTACATACGGTACAGGCTGTTCGTTGTTCCAGAGAGCTCTTAACAAAGGCTAATAACAAGTATTAAATGATAGAAATAAAATGTTTTAATTTGATATCATTTATATCTACGTTAATTTTCAATTGCACTTATGAATGGCCTTCACTAGGCCAACTTTTATCGGTGATCTAGCTGTACTACATCCTATCTAAACCGGAGTTCCAACAGTAGGGAATAATAAAATAAAAAATCCATCAGATAGTATAACGCACATGTACATAATATACCATGTACATTACATCTTGCGAACCATATTTACAGGGCAATGTTATTATTATAGAAATCGTTACTATTGTTGACTTATGAAACTCCCGAGCATTGTTCTTTAATTGTTACTGAAAGTTATTAAAAGCTAGTCAACAGTCTTCCCCTAAATTGTTTAGAAGAGATATTGCAGTGACTATTAAGTATTCCGTGACTGTAACTTGTAAACTATTTCACAGAACTATTTGAAAATTTAGGAACGGCCGTGGCATCGAGAAAGTGCGACGACATTGGGAAACTTATTCTAGTAAAGGTGAGTATAGACTAGCAGCGGTTCCCGAAAGGTGGTCCGCGGAACCTTGGGGTTCCGTAGAAAGGCCGCAAGGGTTCCGTAAAAAATATTATCCCACGTTTCGTGACCGACGTTGTTCGCGCGAACCGACTTGTTTACGCAAAAGGGAGGGGCAGGGCGTGCGGGTGGAGTAGTACGGAGGTTCCGCTAGGAAAAGTATAATCAATTAGGTTCCTTGGCAAAAAAAATTGGGAAACCCTGGACTAGAGCATTTACTTGTAACAGAACAACGAGCCGCTCTATAAAATGTTCTAAAGTTCACCATTTCACGAATCAAACCTCGTTAATTTTACCTGTATTGTACCATTCATAAGGANTACGGTACAGGCTGTTCGTTGTTCCAGAGAGCTCTTAACAAAGGCTAATAACACGTATTAAAACCCATTATACAGCTTACTAAAAAAGCTGCGAAACCTTTTTTCCCTTAAATGTTTGAAATATTTTTTTTTAATTTGATATCATTTAAATCTACGTCTTTGCAATTGCACTTATAAACAGCCCTCACCAATCCAGCTTTTATCGGCGATCTAGCTGTGCGTGCATCATATCTATACCAGAGTTCCAGCAGTGGGAACGAGAGATGGGAATAATAGTAAAAGGTCATCCATTCGTTGTTTTACTCTTTCATGAAAACTAGTGAAGGGAAAACTATAACAACATAATATAACACACATGCACACACACCCTACATCTTGAGAACCATATTTCCATTTAATTTTTACGTCAAATGTTTTATTTACGCCTGTATTAGGGCAATCGTTAAATATCGTTGACTTGTGAAACTCCCGAGCATTGTTCGTTAATTGTTACTGAAAGTTATTAAAAGCTAGTCAACAGTCTTCCCCCAAATTGATTAGAAGAGATATTGCCGTGACTATTGTATTCCGTGACTGTAACTTGTAAACTATTTCACAGAACTATTTGAAAATTTATTAACGGCCGTGGCATCGAGAAAGTGCGACGACATTGGGGAACTTAGTCTAGTAAAGGTGAGCATAGACTAGCAGCGGTTCCCGAAAGGTGGTCCGCGGAACCCTGGGGTTCCGTAGAAGGGCCGCAAGGGTTCCGTAAAAAATATTATCCCACGTTTCGTGACCGACGTTGTTCGCGCGCACCGACTTGTTTACGCACAAGGGAGGGGCAGGGCGTGCGGGTGGAGTAGTACGGAGGTTCCGCTAGGAAAAGTATAATCAATTAGGTTCCTTGGCAAAAAAAATTGGGAAACCCTGGATTGGCATTTACTTGTAACAGAACAACGAGCCGCTCTATAAAATGTTCTAAAGTTCACCATTTCACGAACCAAACCTCGTTAATTTTACCTGTATTGTACCATACATAAGGACGTTACATTACATAGAAAAGCAGAATGAAGTATAGTTTAGTTTAAAGTCTTAATTCAGGTTTGACTAGTCAAACCCCGATATCATTAAATTGAGTTTCGACCTTTGCCTGACCAAATTAATTACTCCTAGGTTTGACTAACATTATTTAGTCAAAGGCCGAAATGTTTGGGCTTTGACTAAGACTTCTAGTCAGCCCTGAGGATTGACTAGTCAAACCTAGGAGTGGCGGAACTTCGAGGTTTGACTATAACATATGCATACTCACCTTAAGGCAAGCAACTTATAGGTCTAGTAGGTACTTAACTGAGTCAGTACCTGACTTATGGGAGCGGCACGGGAAGGGTGACATTGACATATTATGACGTGACAGTGTATACAAATATGAAGTACACTTGACGTCTCACTGACATTTGACATCGCAAAAACACTCCCGTGCCGCTCCTTAAACCTCAGGCACTGACTGTAAGCGCCAGAGCTATAGTTATAATGCTCTAAAGGCAAACATATGAAGTAGTAGAGTAATATAATATGCGTTAAGCAGATTAAACGGGTCGCGGCTGCAAACCGCCCAGATATAGGGCTTCGGTACAGCCTGGCGATAACAGACAATCTACTAAGTAGGAACACGTGTAATTTCGAGACAAATTAATGTTAATTACCCACCCAAAACTTAAACTAGAACGGTTGAACTGGATGCCTAAGGCTGGGTTGCACCATCTTACTTTAACTTTGACAAACGTGAAAAATCTGTCAAACTCCATACAAAAAACACTGGTTATCGTTAAAGTTACGGTCAAAGTTAGGTGGTGCAACTCAGTCTAAGTATACATAATTATGTACTTTTACATTACGTCATCTAGACATCTAGTTAGTGGCAGATAGCATTTACTTGTAACAGAACAACGAGCCGCTCTATAAAATGTTCTAAAGTTCACCATTTCACGAACCAAACCTCGTTAATTTTACCTGTATTGTACCATACATAAGGACGTTACATTACATAGAAAAGCAGAATGAAGTATAGTTTAGTTTAAAGTCTTAATTCAGGTTTGACTAGTCAAACCCCGATATCATTAAATTGAGTTTCGACCTTTGCCTGACCAAATTAATTACTCCTAGGTTTGACTAACATTATTTAGTCAAAGGCCGAAATGTTTGGGCTTTGACTAAGACTTCTAGTCAGCCCTGAGGATTGACTAGTCAAACCTAGGAGTGGCGGAACTTCGAGGTTTGACTATAACATATGCATACTCACCTTAAGGCAAGCAACTTATAGGTCTAGTAGGTACTTAACTGAGTCAGTACCTGACTTATGGGAGCGGCACGGGAAGGGTGACATTGACATATTATGACGTGACAGTGTATACAAATATGAAGTACACTTGACGTCTCACTGACATTTGACATCGCAAAAACACTCCCGTGCCGCTCCTTAAACCTCAGGCACTGACTGTAAGCGCCAGAGCTATAGTTATAATGCTCTAAAGGCAAACATATGAAGTAGTAGAGTAATATAATATGCGTTAAGCAGATTAAACGGGTCGCGGCTGCAAACCGCCCAGATATAGGGCTTCGGTACAGCCTGGCGATAACAGACAATCTACTAAGTAGGAACACGTGTAATTTCGAGACAAATTAATGTTAATTACCCACCCAAAACTTAAACTAGAACGGTTGAACTGGATGCCTAAGGCTGGGTTGCACCATCTTACTTTAACTTTGACAAACGTGAAAAATCTGTCAAACTCCATACAAAAAACACTGGTTATCGTTAAAGTTACGGTCAAAGTTAGGTGGTGCAACTCAGTCTAAGTATACATAATTATGTACTTTTACATTACGTCATCTAGACATCTAGTTAGTGGCAGATAACGCCTGAGATGCACTCAGTTTGAAATAGTAGAGTCATATAATAATAGACTGCCAACCCACTTTGGTTAAAATACTGTTAAGATAATGAATATACTTACAACAAGTGTCTCTTGTGTGTGTACTTCAAGACTTGGGTCATCTACCAAACTTCCTGTCCCACGTCTCCGCTCAGCTGTTCTTTCTCGAAGATCTCTTTCCCGCCCTTGAAAATTATATCAAAGTAGAGTTCCACCTTGCAGAATGAAGTATAAAATAACCAGCTATAGCGATGTATAACTATGTCACAATACTAGTGTCCAAAGTCTGCCCTGGCTGATTCACTAGTTTACAAGGTTTTTTACCCAGAGATGAAACTGATATGTATCGGTAGAGTTATTAATCCTTACTTAAAAACTGAACTTAGAAAAAATTTAGGACGTCAAATTTTGTAAATATTGATTATATTAATTTTTATCATTTTTATACATTTATCTCTAAAAACAATCAAAAATGAGTCGTGTTACTCCTTCTTTTATACTGATTAGTATCAGTTTCCTTTATTATAGACCAACAGCAATCCGCTAACATATTTTTATCCCAAATTCCAAGGAATTGAAGAAAAATTGAATTCAAATCCTGGTGAAAACTTTCGCCATGCTCAACACTCACGCTTCCCAGATTCTCAAAAAAAAAATCCAGGTGAGAATGTAAAAAATGAATTTTTAACGACCTATTCACACCCATTCTTTGGTAATTCCTCAATAATTTGGAAAAAAATTCTGCATAATTCTCAAAAAAAAAAAAATAGTTTCCCAGGAAACTTTTCACTACTGCTTTAAATTAATACCAATCATCTTTCCCTTATTGGAATTGCTGGGTAATGACGGATAAAGAACTCCTTCAGATTATAGCACAGGTTTTGTGACTGATGCAACATCAGGATATTGTATGTTCTTGGTTTTTGTTGTTAAAACCTGTAGTTTCAGTGAGGCAGAAGTAACAGTCATTAGTGTGATTTGTTGGTTCTCTCCATAACATTGAGGTGCCGAATGGTATATGTTTTCTTTTTCCTGCAGCCTAGTGCAATAATATACTTCTTAAATTTTCGCACACTACACCAGGAACCCATTTTTATCAGGTTTGTTACCGAGATTTGAAAGTATTAGAAATAGGCCCGTTTTACGGCCTCAGTGATTGTTCTCTTCTTTTTTGACGATATAATTTGACCACAAACTTAGCAAAAGTTATTTGGGCTTACTTTACACTGCCTTGGTGACATTTTAAAACAAGTGAAAATGTTAAAATAATACTTAAACGCAATTAAAATAAAGTAGAAACTCCGACACGGCTAACAAGACAGCTTACTTAGGTTAATGTGGATATCTCAAAAACTTGACGTGATAAGAATATGAGACATATATTTTTGTAATAAGGGGGCTGGTAGAAAACACATCCAATATGAATTATCTTTGGGTAAAAGAAAAACTTTTTTTTTGTAAACTAGTGTTACCACCGCACGTGACTTTGACCCCAGCGTAATGCGTCATTACCTAACTACCCTAAAAGATACATAACAATTATAACTTGGTAAAATCATAAAATATAAATAAATGTGTCATGAATCACAACGGGTTTTAACTAATGTATGTATTTTATAAATAACACGCAGTGTTTTCTTCCGATGACGGTAACTATTTGCGAAGACTTAAACACTCAGATAAGATTCAAGATAATTGCTATAATGCTTCCCAGAGACACTCGACCCTAACCTAATGAGTCGCTGTACTTTTCTCTGCATTTCCAGTTGTTAATGGTTTGCAGATAAAGAAATAATATTTTCACGCATTCTACAGAACAGAGCCATAATTCATAAAAAAAATCATTTTTGTGTAGGACTGTTTATGTAGTTTGTTACGAACAAGAAGAAGGCGATGATNAAAGAAGGCGATGATGATATCATAATATTATGCAATAATATCAATGTAATTGTAACCAAGTTAATATTATTTCATCGGCATCTAAGATGTTGAGGAACACTCAGTATTTCACGGAACAGACAGTTTAATTGCTACTTCGGATATTCTGTAGATTCTTAGTACTCTACAATACTGCAATCGTAAATGGAAAATACAATGATAAAATTATTCAAATTATACATTTACTTGATGTATAACAAATGGATAATTGTAAACCTAAGTGATATAGATGATTATAGCTTCAAAACGATTAATTACAAAATTCTGGGTAAATTGCTTGTTGAACGTAGTTTATCTGCTTGATGTCATTCTGATGCACAAACAAACAGCAAGTCATATCTACTCGTATTAATTAGTCAGGAACAATTTTGATTTCCTACCAAATATTTTCTGCGAGCAGCATCTCCATTGACGTTCGCGTGCATAGCAACAATAGAAAATCGGTTTTCTCTATCCACCGAATCGTTAACATTAGCACTTTAAAATAAAGTCCTCTGCTGCGTCGATCTGTTTGCGATAAACTCAAACCTGCTGAAGGGATTTTCATGCGGTTTCCACCACCAGGTACGTAGTGTTTGATGATAAATAAAACTTAGTCAAAGAGAAAAACAGGATAGATTTGTCCTGGATTTGAAAATAAGGAAACGCTGGATTATGTCGGACAGATCTATTTACGCGGGCGAAACTGAGGGCAAAAATATTAAAGGTACAAATAATATTTTGCTACCAACCGTGCGATGTGGAAGCCATTGGGGGAGACCTATATTCAGCAGTGGACGTCCTGTGGCTGAAATAATATTTTTATGTTTTTAATTTCAGGATGCGGTCTCGTTGGGAGGTGGCGTCATCGGAGCCATGCACATCCCGGAGAAGTGGTTCCCGGGGGCCGTGGACCGCTGCCTCAACTCGCATAACATTATGCACGTGCTCGTGGTCCTGGCCGTGTACTCCATGCACCAGGTAGAAAACTTCTTTTATACCAGAATGTTTTCACTACTTTTACTCTAGCCCATTTACTTTTACTAAGTCGAACCTTACCTTCGAACTCTTATGTTCTTCTGGTTAATTTGAGGTCCAATGACAGTTAACTTTCCCCCGGGACAAACTTGACCTTCACTGGTTGGGTTTTAATTGGCTGTCAAGCTGTAGATCCTGGCTACACAGGAGTTTCAGGGGTGGGAATAGTCCCGTACTTTTACACTAGGTACTTTCTATTTTTTATTTTATTATTAGGCATACACAACAAGTAACAATCACAAATAATATATAAAGAAATATATTCCTAAGATAGAGCTCCTATTATTACTGGAGATGCTCTCAAGCTTAGTGGACCAATACGTATCTCGCGCAACATACTGAATCATACATACGAAACCAAGCTCACGTTACTTTAAAGCTTCCTAAGCAAAGTTTCATGCAGAGACAACAGCACATCGAGCCAAAAACTGTGGCTGCTATTGCCTTTACATGGAGCTAAAATAGATGTTATTGCAACAAAAATGTAGTCTGTGTTTTCGTCTGTACATTCATTCAATGGGACCACCACATTGTCTTTATTTCTCTGTTTATTTTAATTTGGAAAATTACTTAAACTTGTTCCTTACCAGAGACTAATATTTAAAATGTCATTCCAGGTGACGACCCGTGACCTGGCATGGATGTCGCGCGTAGAGTGCCACGCGCCGCTGCGCCACCTCTGACGCCCGGCCCTCCGTCGCGCCCACTCCTGCGCAGCCTCGCACTGCTGATCTAGACCCAACCCTGAATAAGGCCCTCTTTCCCACTGGGCACTCTGGGTCACTCAGCGCCCAGTGGGAACGAAGAATAGGGCTTAACTGCTCTCATAAAAATTAAACAGTCACTTGTGAATACTAAAGTACGCAATCGCTGAAGAGTTATATATTTTTGCAATTTCCCTTTTTTTAAGATAAAGGTATTTTAATGGCCTGGAGGCCCCGATTAAAGACGACCTTGAATTCGCAGCAGCACATTCCAAAACGCGAAAGAAGTAGAAAAAATAGTTGAAATTAGACCTTTGCATTTCTGAAACTCGGATCGATTTACCATTAAAGGAAGCCTTTCGTTGCTTTAGTTGAGTACCCAAACGAACTGAAAACAAAGACGTGAAGGTTCAAAATTTGCTATAGTTTTGGGTTTGTTTGCTACGAAAAAAATTACATCTGTGCTTATCACTGAGGCATAAGTACGCAGGTGGCACCAGCTCATATGCTTTTTCTTTCGCCTTTCCTTGTCACCTGTCTTCTGCCTACACTGAACGGACCCCGTATATTTAAACTATAGTTTGTAACTAAACTATGGTGCATTAATAAACTATGATTCCCTATTTACTTGTTGCGGGTCTGAATCTCCGAAGTCAACATCGTGGAATGGAAAATAACACAAAATTAATGTAGGTCAAGCCATTGTTAATTTTGTAAACGTCCCAAAAATAAGTTAAACTCTTTTTGAATTCCAAAAGTTACCTACAAGTTATGGATAAAATAAAGATAAAAACTTGACGCTGAGAAAAAATAAGGAATGTAATATTGATGATTTAAGGTTCTTTTTATTTGACTGACTAACACATTTTGTTCTGTTTTCGTGTTAGTCAGTTAAATAAAAAAACCATTAATTAATAATATTCACATACATATATTCCTTATTTTTTGTCAGCGTCAAGCATTTTATCTTTATTTTGCACTAATATACGTATTTTTATTTATGTTCAAGACATGTAGTGAATGTCATTCTTGCAATGAATAATTTAAATTGTATCATATAATTTTAACCCTACTACGTTAGTTATAACATAATTATCCCAAGTTATTTTCGTATATTAATTACAAACAATGCTAAAGGACATAAATAAATATTACGTAACTAGGTAGGTACTAATTATTATCAGTGCCTAAATATAATAGTATCGAAACATTCCTTCAACAAAACAGGTTATGTAAGGATATNGAGGGTATCTTTTAATGGTTTAATTAAAGATTAAAATGATTGCATGCAAGTAAGTACGACTGGAAACCGAGAAAAACGTAGAGTTAACTGGCCAAAAACATAATTTTAATACAATCAACGCGATGCCAGCTAATTCTGGGTTGAACATAAAGTCACAATTCAATTTTGGACACTAGTGCAAACGTCTAACTTCGCACACTTACTCCTTTGGAATGGGTATTATATTTTATTCAATAAACGTGATTAATAGCATCATAAAGTAAATTAAAAAAAAGCAAGATAACTACATAGAGCATCATCATACAAAAATCTTATTTGCGTTTGAGAAGAACAAAAAATGTGTAGGTACCTATTAAATTCATGTCGCCACTAATACCAATCCTTAACACACTTTTGCAAGTACTAAAATATTATGTTAATTTATGTTACAAAGGTGCACTGCATAATGTGCAAAACCACCTTATCCTTAATAATCATAATAATCATGTTAAAATAATACAAACTAGTGTTACTTTGATAATGACTAATTACGCTAATTAATACATAATTTGTTTATACCAACAACATTAATAATCACACAGCAACGGTATTGTTTATCGCATCGAAGGTATCATTAGGGCAAGTGTAGCCTTTACTAAATAAAACTTATCTTAAAGTGATCGTAATATTCAAATCCATTATACACCAATTAACGTAACTTGATAGGTTTATGATAACGTTTTATAAAACCTTATTAAGATGAGCCATGCTATAGCATGGCTCATCTTAATATATCCGACACTCAAACTTCTAAACAATAAATCAGGTTGTTTATATAAATTAGCGTTCAGATATAAATAAAAACTAAGATAATTAGTAATAAGTTTTCGAGTACAATTAAAACCGATCATTTGAACGCGAAACGAAATCTAATGCTCTTCGTAGATGTATTGAAATTAGGCATAGCGTTAAATAATATTGTTACTACAAACTTTAATTATAAATCGTCCTACTTCGGTCTGTCCTTGTAGTTTAGAACACTCATGTATCCCTTGTGAATAAGATAATTGCGATTCGTATAATTAATCACAGGTACTTACTATTGTTAAAGCGTGGGCTGTGTGAGTCTAGACCCGAGGGCAACACAATGTAAAAAGACACGTTTGCTCGACTAGTGATAGCTCATAGAAAAATTAGCTTATATCTTTATCGATCTTATTTTTACATTCCATACCAGGATTTAGTCAAATATTTGATAGAGTAATCATATTTTAGCATTTACTTGTTAGTGATCATCGTGCTTTAAATCACATAATGTTAATGCTTCATCATCTAATAGTAAGTTAACGCTAGCTAAGATTTTGGTTACATTGATTTTGTGCGGTTTGGTGTTATTGAAATGAACTTATTCGTAGAATAACGCAATACAATAGAACGTTAAATATATCCACTTAGGGAAATCATATTTGTCCGCACTCATATTAAGGTAATCATAAAATAGTATTATGATTATTTAAAAGTCAATTGGAGTTTTAAAACTGCGTAAAATTTCGGCAAGTGGTGAGATGCTTCTTGTAGATGCGCTCACTCTCGCGAAGCTTGACGCTGATGCCGTAGGCTTCTAAAATTCTAAAAGCGTTTTATCAAAGTTGTTTGAAAACCACCCAAGAATGTTGAATAATTCAGAAATGTGGCGCAGTCATAACTACACGTGGCAACTGAATCACTTAGTATAAATAAATCAGAAATAAACATTCATCGTGAGTAGTCTAATCAGTCAATCTACAATGTCTTATTGAGATCTACGATGAGTAATTTTAATGTTCTTCTGAATTTGGTTTCTGGACTAGTCGTGCGTAGTTCCTTATTTGCCTGTTTGATGTGTACTGTGTACTAATTAGGAAACATGGACGACCAAACATTCGTTATATTTTTGTATTAAAATCATGAATGTTGTGCGCTTCCCGCTTCACGGCACTAATGGACGTGCGCGAACGAACACGTATCCCTCGTTACTCGCTCGATAGTGTATTACTCAAAGGATTAGACTAACCGTAGTGTGAGTAGTTAGGTAGATTACAAGCAATAAATAGATGACAATTGTTAAGAAATTTGACAAAAGTAGTCGCGTAAACGTTCGATCAGAGAAAATTTTACACAATCGTTGAATTTTTAAAACAAATCTTTTTGATGGCTTTAAATATCTACTTTTGTCAAAGGTCTGTTGTTTTGATTAATGATTTATCGTGGATGAAATAGTTTTAGATGAGTGGAAGTGTACTTGGGGTTTTTACTGGGCGAAGCGGCGCGGCGCTCTGCTCGCTCGCTCAGCGCGCTGACACGCGCCCTTCATTCATACGCGATCTTCTATTCTAATCAACAGAATTATTTTCATTTATATATTTTTGGAAAATAAATGTTTTCGAATAGTTACAACAACATGTATTTACAATAGGAAAAAGTTTATTTTTCTGTGTGATTACTTATAACTAAAGACGCTACCTATATTTCGAAAAACTCTGTACAAAAATTATTTATAATCTAGCAGTCAAATTAGTTGGTTGATAAAATTCTTCTATTTTATTATAACTATTAATTGTGACTTGCCTAATGTTCGTTATATACACGCTAATAAAACGTAATGAGAATAATTTTATACGTACTCGAATCTACTGAGGCGAGCGCGCTATTTGAGGATGCCTCTAAATTAAGATTTACGATTAAAACGGAAAAAAACTTTTAAAATTTAATTATATTCTTAACGTACTTAAGATGTAAAATATTTTGCTTTCATATTTTGTTATTTAAAGGCATACAATTGAAACAAACAAAGAATATACTAATTTTACTTTTATGCACGATGGTTTTTATATTAAATAAAAATATGTCTTTATAAAATTTCGCCCGAACTATGTAAAAAAATGGATGCCAAAGAAAGAGTTCAAATAAAACTAAGCTACATCATAACCTAATTTATGTATTGTGCATAAAAATACATAGTACTTAAATGCATTTTCCTGAAAAACGTTTTGTTAAACATTTCAATATCATTCGTTCTAGTAGACGTACCTACTTTAGAAAATTTCCAATGCTAGCTTTACTTTTTCATTTTTGCAATGCAATTTTATCTACTATGAGTATTAAAATAAATAACTTAGCCGTAAGGCAGCGAATGTAGAGTGATATTCAAAAGCAATATAACTAAGTTTTGTATAACGTTGGTTTCACTTTTTTTACGGACTATTCCGTTACTGTTACTGCACTCTTGTACTACATAGAGTACGACCCTTGATCATTCTCAATCCGTAGACGTTGAAGAGAGTATTAAAGTTTAATTTGAATTCAAATGTATGTTTCATTTATCCACCTATCCTCAACACAGCATTTTACATACCTAATCCATACGGTAACAATCCTTGTCAGTTATTTATTGATTACTATGAATAATTTTGTTATTCGTGGCATTTATATTTATCAAAAGTTATCGCTAATTGATACCTACGTTTTTAAATAGAAATTTCATACTAATTATGTTAATAAATAATGTAAATCAACACACGAGTTGCGTGTGGGCTGAAAATAGATCTGCAATCAATAATAATAATTGTACGCTAATATTAGGCCAGNTATTAAAACAATAAAATCTTTTGTAGGAATTATTTCCGATTTAAAAGCTAATTCTACTGGACTACCTATATGACATTGTACAGCAATGTACATAATTATAGTAAACTCACACTATGTTTTTACTGATTTGTACTGTACAAAAAAAGCTACGCGTTAGCTCCGTAGGTTTGTACGTAGCGTAGGTCAAGAGAGTCAGATAATACATTGTATATCGATCGACATAGCTGCTAACAATATTCAGACTTATTTTTTTCTGTTTTGTTGATTCACGTGCACATTATAGTACTTACATGCGACCGGTTAAACAAATTAAATCAACAAATAAATCATCCAGTATTCTAATAACACCGCTCAGAGCGGCTCTATGACTTATTAATTAATTTATCAGGTCATGGAGCTAATCTGAAATAGTCCAATGATAATCATTGGACACGACCTGTCAGCCTCCTTGCTTGCGTCACTTCATTATGGAGGGAAAACCCGAAGGCCTGAGACTGCGTCGGTCGGTACCGTGAATTAGGAGCCGAACACAACACGCTTAATTGACAAAAACACTGCCACATAACTACCTACATTTCAACGCCGCAGTAAAACCAGTATTAACTAAGTAAGAGAGATAAGAAAATAAAGTTTCAATTTATTCTTTAGATTAGACACTCAAAAATAACTACGAATCGGTGTTAACTATATACCTACCTAATAACCAAGACAATGTGCTGAAAGTACTGTAGTACTAAAATTAATTACTATGGCAGTTGCTGAAAGACAACAACATTTACCTGAATACCTGAATTCGAGGTCCTATAAAGTCACTAACTGTTTCCGACCCAAGATAGGCGCTGCATTAATGAAGGAAGCGCATTGCAAGTGCCCGCTGTGCATCAATACGGGTGCGCTGACGTAATGTGTCGTTACCCGGCCTCGATGCGCTGGCGCACAATCGCGAGAAAAATAAAATACTATCGACGCG